CATTTAAGGTGCGAGGGGGAAAGTTCAAAGGAGATGTGAGGGGCAGGTTTTTTTTACCCAGAGAGTGGTAGGAGTCTGGAACGTGCTGCCAGGGGAGGTGATGGAGGCAGAAACAATAGGGGCATTTAGGAGACTTTTAGATAAGCGCATGAATATGCAAGGAATGGAGGGATAAGGACCAAGGAAAGGCAGAATGGATTAGTTTAATTTGGCGTCATGTTTGGTTGAATATTGTGGACCTAATGGCCCGTTCCTGTGCTGTACAGTTCTGTATTCCCATTGTGTAGTAAAGAGACTTTATTTTCCAGTTGGGTTGCAAAGGTGTGCAGGTCCAACAACCAATGGTAGTCATGTGGAGTGGATCGTTTGGAAATGGGAAGTCAAGCGATGATATCTGTCTGAATCTGTCCCACCAGAATTGGCCACCTGAGGGGCATGTAAAATATTACTGTAAAAACGACACAATGCGGTGATGCTTTGCGCATGTTGGAAGGCAAATTAGCATAGGCCATTCATTCTTAATGACTCTACCATCTTTGTCCCCAACATGGTGCCTATTCAGTTGAACTTCTTGTTAGACTAAAAGCTCAACTGGGAGAGAATTCAGATCATTAAAGAAACCTGGTGAGTCTTGCTAACTATTGTCTTTATCCTGAACGCAACGACAGTCTTCTGAAGAGACTAGCAAAATGTATCATGCTGGAATATAATTGCTGGCATGTTATAGCAAAAATGACTCATCTGAACTAACCAATATTACTACATAGACTTCCACCTTCTGAAATCTAGAATATGATTCATTTATTTGGGTCCTTGAGGATTTAAATATGAAATGACAACCTTTTAATAAGTGCTGAAGAATATTTATTATAAGAATCAATTTATGCATTATGTTATAGTATTGATTCCAATATCGAAGAGTATAGGGTAATTAAAGATGGTCAGTTCTCTGTATTGTAAATGATACACATGGAAGTGAATAGTGAATAATGTTCTCCCCTTAAGGAGTTTTGACTATGTGTTCAACTAAAGGTAGTTATCACATGAAAACTCTGCATCACATTTAAACAGAATCTTCAAAACTACCAAAATCTACTGAATATTCAGTGACTATCAAGGCAGTTATGATCGATAGTTGCAATAGTGCTACCAGCCTATAGGGTTACTCTCCCATTAGAAGGAAATGACTGATGATGGTTTAACCTGAGGGTCACCACACCTCAAGCAAGGAGAGAAGGAGAATCCTTCATGGTAATCTCAGCGAGTGCAGGAATTAAGCCCACACTCTTAGCATCGCTCTGCATTGCAAAGCAAGGGACTGAGCTAGCTGATCCCCTTTGTTTAAAGTTCAGCTTTTGTTCAAGAGCAATTTAAGAGGAGATCCTGGTTGACTTCATCTCCCTGTGCAGTCAAAACATGGCTGCTTTAGGGCTGCTTTATCATGCACAATGTTGCATTACGTTGGGTTTTTGCCATTTTGGAAGCATCACTCTTAACAACAATATTCATTGTTAATTATTCATTGCCTAGAATTTAAAAAGTCAAAAATAGATGTTCTCTCTGTTCAGGAGGCTGTTGCCTCAAGGTTACCTTTCCAGCATTTAAAATTATTTACGAGTTTATCTTTATCAAATTTCAGATGCTTATTCTGCCTATATCCACTTTAAATTTAACACTTTAATTGCTGGATTGATCTGGTGGTTTTATTTACATCATTGTAGTGACCTCATGCTCCCAGGATTTTGAAAGTTTCTCGAAGTGAGACCAGGGGGTGGGCAGAATCTAGGGGTCAATCTCGGTGGATCAATTTGAGGTTATGAGTACAGGGAGGAAATTGCAATTTACTTTTTTCTCTGAATTTTGGAGGGCAAAGCTAAAAGAAAGGAGGGAAGCGAGGAGCTCAGTGACAACCATTTGTGAAAGAGATGTCATTTGAATCGAAATTATTTCAGCCAGTTTCCAATTATTGTAGCCACTCCACCAACCACAACTGTCTGATGTTTCTCCCAGTGTTGTTTTCGCTAATTAATGTTTCCAATGTTTTAGCCTCCAAAAATCATGACTTCGAATTAGCAGAATACATACATGAGCAGAGATAGGACACGTCATTTTGAGAGTGAGGTTTGGTAGTTAATACAGGCACTCCACCTGTGTAGCGTGGTGGTTGCCATGACGAAATTTGAATTGTAAAGCACAACCCAGCTCGCTGAATCTTGTCAGTGATATAATTAGAAAAAGCTGTCCTTTTGTTAAGCTCCATTGAGTTGATAGAAAATGGAAAAGTCGCTCTCTCTCTATCCTCCAAAACTTGGTGCGTATCGAAGCATCAGTCTGCTACTTGTACTCTGAGGAGTTCAACCATTTGCATCTTTCCCTGTTTGCAACCTTTGCAGATTTTTTTGTTCCCCAGTGCGTACTTTCCCCGCAACACTGTTGTTGGAAAAATAACGTTTGTTATGTGGCAGAATTGCAAAGCTGTCAGCATACTTCTAGGCTGGATGCTGCAGCTGAGAGCTGATCCAATTGAGTGATGCACTTACAGGGGACTGTCATAGTTACTGTAAGTTATAGGGGAGGTCATGATGTGGCTGTACAGAACACTGATTTGGAATACTGCATTCAATTCTGGTCCCCCTGCTATAAGGACGATGTGAAACTTGAAAGGGTTCAGAAAAAATTTACAAGGATGTTGCCAGGGTTGGAGGGTTTGAGCTACAAGGAGAGGCTGGATAGGCTGGGGCTATTTTCCCTGGAGCGTCGGAGGCTGAGGGGTGACCTTGTAGAGGTTTATAAAATCATGAGGGGTATGCATAGAGTGAATAGTCAATAGTCCAAAACTAGAGGGCGTTTGTGATGAGACAGGAAGGATTTAAAAGGGACATAGGGGCAACTTTTCATGCAGGGAGAAAAGGGGAGTAACATTTTTATTTGTTAGCTGTGCTTAGGAAACCGTTCGGCCTGGATATTGAGCAGCAGCCTGCCCTGAGTGATGGTCACCTCTCCCAGCAGCTTGTTGAGCTCCTCGCTCCAAGCTCGTCTCGTTCTCCATTTCATACCTGTATGAGAGGAGGATGCTGAATTGTTGGCTAGTGGGCCCTGATTGTTTGAGATGTTACCAGGGAGAATTCAAGCCAATCAATCAACACCCTCTTCTCGTACAGTCAAAAATATTTTATTCCCTCGACATAGAAACGAGGCGCAGAAGTAGGCCACTCGGCCCTTCAAGCCTGTTCTGTCATTCAGTATGATCATGGATGATCCTCCACCTCGGTGCCATATTCCTGCTTTTTCTCCATAGCCTTTAATATCCAAAAATGTATCATTAATCTCTTTATTGACATTGTCATTCTTGATGAGTGCAAGATGGAACACCTCAAAAAAAGTCTTTCTTTTTCCCAGCAATACTCAAGTTCTGCACTACCAAACAAAACCAAGAGAAGTTGGGTTTCACAGTGCTTTGTCAGTTCCCTGTAGGTTGGTGAGCATTTGTAATTGCTGTAGGAGGGCATACCTAATAAGCCTTCATTTACACCACTAAACACAGCAAGTGAATTAACAGATTTAGAGTTGACAGGTCCACAGCAGCAAAAAAGGCCCTTCGACCCGTTGAGTCTGTGCCAGTCCAAAAACAATCGCCTAACTATTCTAACCCCATTTTCAGCATTTTGGCCCAAAGCCTTGGCATCTCAAGCATACATCTTAAATAATTCTTACAATTTATGAGGGTTTCTGCCTCTACCGTTTTTACAGGCAGTGAGTTCCAGATTCCCACCATCCTCTGGGTGAAAAAAAAACCTCCTCTCAATCTCCTGCTGACTACTGTCAATCTATGACATTCTGGTCACTGATTCCTCCATCAGTGAGAAAGTTTCTTTGCTGTCTACCCTGTCTAAGCTGCCCATCTTTTCATACATGTCACTCATGTCCCCCTCAGTCTCCTCTGCCCCAAAGAAACTAACCTCAGTCTATGGTGTAGTTTCCTACTGAAGGAGAGAGACCAGATTCTACCCTGATGGGCATTCTGGGAAGGTTGATCTGCCATTATCACCAAACGATAAACCATCTTCAGCGTGGAGTTTGACTACAGTGCCGGATCTGCCAGAGCCCCCAGAGGCTGCAGCCTGTAACTGCGATTGGGAGCAAGAGGAAGAGAGGGAGGATATAATGTAACATCCACAGCTACCTGCAATCCGCCAAAATTCCCAGGATATGGAGAGAGAATTTAGAAACCACTCAGCAGCAATGACACGAGTGAAACATCCGCATGATAAAGACTACTCCTGTATGATGAGATCCATTAGGTCTGGGAGGAACATACCCTGTCCTAAAATATAACACATCTCCAACACATTTCGTGATTTCACAGTGTCCCGAGGTGCCTTACAGCTAATGAAGGGTCCGGTAGAGGAAAACACGGCGGTTATTTCATGCACAGCAAGGCCCCATGATACAATAAATGGCCAGATTTCGACCTTTTAGAAACAAAAACAGAAGTTGCTGGAAAAGCTCAGCAGGTCTGGCAGCATCTGTGAAGAAAATAATCAGAGTTAACGTTTCGGGTCCGGTGACCCTTCCTAAAAACTCAAGTTCTGAGGAAGGGCACTGGACCCGAAACTTTAACTCTGATTTTTTCTTCACAGATGCTGTGAGACCTGCTGAGCTTTTCCAGCAACTTTGTTTTTGTTCCTGATTTACAGCATCTGCAGTTCTTTTAGTTTTTAGTTAGACATTTTAGACATTAATTCAAATATCTGGGTGGAACTTTTAACTATTTTTCTTCAAGACAATGCCACAGATTTGTTTTTTGACTTGAAATTGTAGCTGGGACCTTGGGTTTATGTGTTACAGCTAAGACTGGCCTTGGAATTGCACTGAAGTGAGCTTGCCTTTGCAGGCATGATGGGATAAACGGCCCCTGTTCCTGACATTCTTGTAAACATACTATTCGAAGCATGTGTGTTCATTGAATCACTTCACTCTTTCTCCTCCCTTTTCCCCAGTGTTCCTTTTTGCCGAAATTCTCCATTTACATTGAGACAAAATATGAAGACAACAATGGCTGCAATGATCATGTAAGTCCTTGTGCGGATCAGAGCATCAGACACTTCACACCGAAATCGTTGTACTCTCGAGCTGAACACATATTTATTCTAATGTTTGTTTTTCCTGACTGAAGATCGATCTGCCCTGACTGACATTTTCTGTGTTTGTGTTGCATGACAAGTTGTGGTGCTGCTAAGCTACCGAGGGCAAAGTCTTTGTCATACAGTCACATGTGACATTGGGAGCTAGATCTCTCTCTATTCCCCATCTGGCACCAGGAGAAGTAGCCAACCCTGTGGTCCTCCCCGGAAGGCCACAGCACCAAACTTGACCTGGAGAGTCCCGACGGATGGAATATTGGCCATTCCTGCCATCTCCTGCCTCCTCTCCCACCCCTGACAGAAATGGAAGGGTCAGGGGTTAAGATGGAGCCGCTCCATTTGCCACTCTGATTTGGCTGATTTTAGACTTTGAGTAAGTTTGGCATTGCCCCCTACACCTCCCTCCCGAGCACCCTTCCCGACGACTTCAACCGCTTGCCTGAAACCCGAAACCATCTGCTTCTGCCCATCCACCAGCCACTGCTTTCTGTGCCCATTTTGGAGGGAAGGAAGGGTGTCATCAGTTAAGGGCTAGTGTATGTGGGCATCAAGAGCCAGCAGTTCACCTCTCCATTGTTGTAGAGCTCCAGTAGATGCCTTCAGAGTAAAGAACCTCTTTGAGACAATTCACAGTAACAGACCTGAATGGGGACCTCGCATTCAATTGTGCAACTGATGACCAAATTACTCCAGCCATGTACAGTGTATGGAGGGAGGTGAGCGCGGCACCCATTCTTTGGCTGTATCCCCTGTGCAGACTGGGACGGTAAAAAGTTTGAAAGAAATGCAACCCTGTGAGTGATAACTGTGTTCCTAAATGTTCCATTATGATGGAGACACTTAGCCACTTGGAAGGAACAGTTCTGAAAAAGAGTCAGCGTTAACTCCATTTCTCTTTCCGTTGCTGAGATCCTCCAGCAATCTCAGTGTTTGTTTCAGATTTCCAGCATCTGCAGTATTTCGCCAATTCCTCTCCTGTGTCCCTACAGATTTTCGACTCGGACAAAAACCATACGGATCACGAGGTGTGCTTCCTGGACATCGCTTTTGATGAGATTCCAGACCGTTACTACAAGAGTACAGAGGTGAGTGTCCCTATCCCAACAACAACCGGGAGTTAATGCCGACCAGTTCACAATGCCCCTCATTCAAAGTGTTTTACCCATTTTGTTGATGTTTGCACAGTGAGGCCACTGCATCTTAGAAATGAACCTTTCTGTGTTTGTATCTGTGTGCACCATTATTTCAGCTCTCTGCATCAGACAGTCTGCTGGGGGTTTTGGGGGGCAATTGGCTGGATCTGTTGCTGGACACACACATGTCAGTGTCACGCTCCTGTCTGATTGAGCAGAGCAGTGACCTGTTACCTCACCTCCCCTTCGGCGAATAAAACGCCTTGAAATACTGTTCGCCAGAGTGCAATCTGTTTTGACTTTCAGCAAACTTATGTTTGGAGTAGCGAAAGCAATGCTTTGTCGCTGCTGTGCAGATTCCTAGTTTCTTTATTCTGTGAGGTGTCTACACTGTTGTAACTGGATTTATAATCTGTGGGAGGCCAAGCACTTGCTGTGGGAGATGAAGGATGTCGAATGGGACATGTGTGTGCCACCTTGGATCACCCTGAAAGTACGAACAGATTTGTAGTTGAACAGCACCTTTCACGTCCCTAGAATGAAGCATCTTACAGCCAATTGGTACTCAGTGAGGTTTCAGGAGCAGCAACATGATAAATTGTTTGAATGATGTCGTTTGAGGGACATAAATGTTGGCAAGGCACCGGGAGACCACTGACTGTGTAACACTCCCTCAGTGCTGCAACTAAGAATCAGCCCAGTTTGGTCTTCCAGCTCCTGGAGTGGGATTTGAACCCAGAACCTTCTATCCCTGAGGGAATGGCGATACCCTCAGAGCCATGGCATCCCAATAATGAGGGGCGCTTTGGCACCAGGGTGTGAGAGTCATCATCCTGATGCCAAGATGGAACAGAAGCAGGGAATGGCAGTTACTTTTTTTTTTTTTCAGTATTCACTCACGGGACATTCCTGGCATCCTTAATTGCTCAGAGGGCAGTTAAGAGCCCAACCACATTGCTGTGGGTCTGGAGTCATGTGTAGGCCAGATCAGGATGGCACATTTTCCTTCCCTAAGGACATTAGTGGGCAAGATGGGTTTTTCCTAACAATGGTCATCATTTGACTCTTAATTCCAGATTTTTATTCGATTCAAATTCCATCATCTGCCATGGTGGGATTTGAACCTGGGTGACCAGAACAATCAGGAGTTAATATTCTAGTGATAGTACCACAAGGCCATCACCTCCAACATTACACAACAGCAGCTAATGACCTTCTCCTATCTAATACTGAACCAGTTTGTTTCACTTCCACTTGCCTTTTGGAAACCTTTGACACAGCCAGTAGATTGTTCACCCTGTTTTCCTGCCAATGTAACTATCGTCCAATGCTTTTCATTCAGTTCCTACAATTCACCGACTGAATATCTTGCACCAACAGGACCTCCGGTATTTTGCGTCGGTGAAGACTGGACGGGGTCCTCTGAAGGAGGGTTGGAGGAATGACCCTTCACCTGTCATGTGCTCCTACAAACAAGTGACTGTCAAGTTTGAAGTCTGGGGTCTGCAGACAAGAGTGGAGCAGTTTGTTCAGAAGGTGAGCACCACTGAACAGTGATTGCATACCTGTTGTAATTATTCCCTGGGATCAATCGCTTCTGTTTGAATTTGTTGTGTTAACGTTACCTCAGAGTAATTATCTGAACCTCCCCATTGCACCTTAACCTCGTAAAGATGAAAGGTATAACTCAGAGTGGAATCAAAGGTTGCTTCTGTAGAATCCAGGCCCAATTTTAACCTTGCTCAGCCAGCAGGAATGGGGCAAGTGCACAGTTGAAATATTAAGATATGAACATTGCTCAGACTGTTGAGTATAGGAATTGGGGCGTTATGTTGAGGTTATACAGGATGTCGGTGAAGCCTCTTTTGGAATACTGTGTCCAGTTCTGGACACCGTGTTAAAGGAAGGATATTATTAAGCTGGACAGGGTTCAGAAGAGGTTTAACAGGATGTTGCCAGGAATGGGATGTTGCCAGGAATGGAGGGTGTGAGCTATAAGGTGAGGATGGAGAGGTTGGGACTTTTTCAACTGGCGCATAGGAGGTTGAGGAGTGACCTTATAGAGGTTTAAAATTCATGAGGGGTATGGATAACGTGAATTTCAGATGCCTTTTCCCTAGGGTGGTGACTTTCAAGACTTGGGAGCATACTTTTAAGGTGAGAGGAGAAAGGTTTAAAAAAGTCATGAGGGGCAATGTTTTTTAGAGTGATTCGTATGAGAGATGAACTTCCAGAGGAAGTGGTGAATGAGGGTACAGTTACAACATTTAAAAGACATTTAGATAAGTACATGGATATAAAATGTTTGGAGGGATATGGGCCAAGCGCGGGCAGATGGGAGTAGTTTAGTTTGGGATTATGGTCGGCATGGACTGGTTGGACCCAGGGTCTGTTTCTGTGCTGTATGACTCTATGACTCCATAAAATGTTGCATTTCTGAAGTATTCATATTAATTGCTGCCAGTCACAGTCCTCCGAGTTATTTGAACATAAGATCCGATGATGATGTTGGCCTTGCAAGGCAATTTAGCAGCTGGTTGCAGCTTTGATACTCTTAGCCCTAGTTCACCTTTTTAGACTGAGCATCCCAGCAATTCTGTAGGTGAAAACCATTATCTTCATCTTCCCCCTGACTTCTCCCTAATGATTTTAAATTTATGACCTCTGTTTGTGGGAATAGTTTTTTTTCCATCTGCCCTTTTCATCACTCTGAAAACCGCAACTTACCCTATTCCAGGGAGAGCAAATCTAATGTTTTTTTATCTCCCCTCATGACTGAATGCCCACATCCTCATCATGGTAACCTGCCCCTGTCCCTCTTTGAAGGCGTTTACTCTTGTCTGCCTTTAAGTGAGTTCACCTTTAAGGATTGAATGTGCTTTGTGTGTATACAATGTTGTGCCTCCGCCTGGCAGCTGGCCTGCTGTGGGGCTGCAAGTTGCACGTGAGCATAAATCAGGTAGTTTGCTGCAATATCTGCTTCATAACTTACAATGTGGTTTACTGTTTTAAATAAACTAACCCACAGAGTTGATCAGTGCCTGACAAGTGGTTGATTATTCCACCACTAAAATGACATTTACTAAAGTAGCGTGCTCAGAATTGGCTGCAACACAACAGATAATGTTTCCACAGTGATTGTAATGAGGTCAGCCGGGTGGACCTATAGAATATGAGTTCCCTGATTGGGGCTGTTAACCTGGTCCAATCAGGGAGCCCTGGCTGACAGATAGAAACAGGAGGGTCAGGAGTTCTGTTCACTCTGAGAGCTGGCTCTGAGGGAGCTGGATCAGTGTCAAGGCCTCTCCACCTGTAAATAAAGGATGACTTGGTGATGGGATAGTGGCCTCTGGGGAGTTGTTTCAGTTTTGAGACCTCAGAACCTTCAGTCGCGCAATGAATGCCTTAAACTGCTCAAAAATCACAAGGTCGTCAAGTGCTGTTGCAGGAGCAACTCCTTCCTCAGGGTCCCTGCCAAAATAGAACGGCAACGGCAAATATCTGAGTAGTTCGTTCATGGGATCATGTTAGTTCAGTTCAAGAGGACTCTGAAAATGGTCAGTTTTTCTCCACATAAGGTCAGGTTTCAGTTGCTGAAGTTGCTTAGTGTTGAATCATTTCTACTGGCTTTCCTATCTGCTTGGAAAATTTGCAATTGGATTTGAAAGAACGCCCTCAAGATTTTTCTGAAGCCAACATTTACAAGCCGGAAAATGAAACCACTTTATGGGATTAAGAAAGCGCTGATTAAATATAAATGTCTTCATGGCTGTTTGACAAACAGCCGATTTACTCACTTATCTGGGATCTGGGACAGCTGGCTTCTTGGAGTTGAGCATCACACACATTCACTGAACTGCCAATAGAATCTCTACACTGTGGAAGCGGGCCATTTGGCCCATCAAGAGTCACACCGACCCTCTGAAGAGCAGCCCACCTCGCCTCAACCTCTTACCCTATTCCTGTAACCCTGCATTCCCCATGGCTAACCCACCCAACCTGCACATCCCTGGACACTATGCGCAATTTTAGCACGGCCACTCCACCTGCACATCTTTGGACCATGGGAGGAAACCGGAGCAAACCTGCGCAGACATCTGAGGAGAACGTGCAAACTCCATACAGTCACCCAAGGGTGAAATTGAACCCAGCTCCCCAGAGCTCTGAGGCAGCAGTGCTAACCACAGAGCCAGCGGGAGCAGGTTTGATTTCCCAGTCTTTGCTGAGGCACAATTCGATGATTCATGTTAGTAGGCCTCCCCTATAAACCCTCTGATCTGGGGAGGAGCTGGGCCTCCCACTAATCCCCTGCTCAAACATGTCTGGATAGAGGGGTGGCACGGTGGCTCAGTGGTTAGCACTGCTGCCTCACAGCACCAGGGACCCAGGTTCAATTCCACCCTTGGGCAACTGTCTGTGTGGAGTTTGCACATTCTCCCTGTGTCTGCGTGGGTTTCCTCCAGGTGCTCTGGTTTCCTCCCACACTCCAAAGATGTGCAGGACAGGTGGATTGGCCATGCTAAATTCCCCATAGCATCCAGGGATGTGTAGATTAGGTGGGTTATAGGGGGATGGGTCTGGGTGGGATGCTCTGAGGGTCGATGTGGACTTGTTGGGCTGAAGGGCCTGTTTCCACACTGTAGGGATTCTATAATTTATAATCGGAGATCAAGGAGAGTGGTTATAACTGGGCCCCTGGGGAGAACAGCCCTTGGATCTTTGGGTTTGGATGCTGGTTTTCCAGTCAATCTGAAATTGCTGTCTGTTGATTCACAGAGAGCAAAGTGAGGACGAAGAAAAGCAATGCATCCCATCCATGTCCAAGGATCAGACTCCACTAAGACACCCTGCTCCTGCTCCGTACGTGTGTAATGGAGAAAAGGGCAAGGAATGATGTATCACAGGAAAGAAACTGTTGGGAGAACAATTGCAGGAAAGAAAAAGGGCAGGATGTTCTGATCCTGGCAGTAAGACCAGGAAAAGACTGATGACCTCCTAGCCATTTGAAAAGGATTTATTCTCACACTAATGCCTGTGGGGAGTATGGGCGCATTCTCAATCACCTCATTTCCATTCTGGCAGTTGCTGCTGGTATTTGAAATGTTTCAAAGTCCACAAAAGCTTCCTTCAAACCCCGTGAATGCTGGAGACACTCAACAAGGATGGGCAGGCAGCATCTGTGGAGAGAGAGAAACAGAGTTAATGTTTCGAGTCCAGGGCAACTTTTCTTCTGACCCAGTGATGAGGGACCAGGATAGAGTCTGTACCTGTTAACAGACAGATCAATGTCCAGAGGGCGTGGATTGAAAATAATCAGGAAAAGGATTCAAGGGAAGTTGAGAAACCTTTCAGCAGGGTAATGTTGGGGACCTGGAAGTCACTGCTACAGAGAGTGGTAGAGATGGAAAACCTCAAGAAATTTAAAGATCCGTTGGTAGAACCATTGATGTACCATAAGCTGTAGGGCTACAAATCAAGAGCTAGAAGGTAGATAAGGTCAAATGGGGCTAGATATTCCCTCAAATAAGGCTGGGCAGGTCAAATAGATGGTTTTTGCTGCAGTTAATGTCATATGTTCCTATAAATCGATCACTACTCACCTGTTTCTCCCCTCACCCACCCGAATTCTGTGGGTCTCTGGTAACGTTTTGTGTTTTTCAGTACCTTAAATAGCTGTTGCCTGGGTCTCCTTCAGTACAACAGACATGATTTACTGATCTGACTTCTTATTTTCACATAGTTGTTACCAAAGAGTAACCGAGTGCATTTGCAACCTGCCATACTACCTGGAATGGTATTTAAAACAGTTGTGCCTGTTAAAGAGCCTGACAGGTGACGGTATGGCAGCTACATGTTAGACTGGGCGGAAACAGAATGACTCAGAATCAGCACAGAGTACCTTTACAGTCAGGCAAGGGGACTTTGTCTGGGCCCAACAACCACAGTGGAGCCCACTGCTGGTTGTTCTCACACATTACATAGGGTGAAAATAAAGGGTGGATTTTAATGCCCTCCCCGCAAACCTGATTAAGTCATTGGGTCTCATCCCGCTGTGGCAGAGATTGCAGTGGATGGGGGTGGTGCTAACTGTGACAAAAAAATTGGTGTGTGGATTGTAGGCACCCAGAAGTCTGTCACTCATAGGCACTCAGTGTCTGATTGAGAGACCCCACTACCCTCGCTGTTGAGCAATGCTCTCTACCCATGAAGATGTTAGAAGTAGAAAGTTGTTGGTACTTCCTACAATGGAGCTGTCATCCTGACATTAGAAAGCTAATGGAATGCTGGCCTTTATATCTAGAGGACTGGAGTACATGGATGAAGACATTTTGCAGCAGTTTTACAAACCCTGGTTAGACCCCACTTGGAGTACTGTGGGCAAATCCTGGCACTATGCCTTAGGAAGGATAGATTGGCCTTAGAGGGAGTATAATGTAGGCTTACAAGGATGATACCTGGACTTGAGGGGTTAAGTTATGAGGAGAGGTGATACAAATTAGACCTGTTTTCTCCAGAATTTAGAAGGTTAAGGGGTG